GTTAGACATCGAGAGAGAAGGGAGCAGCAGGTTAAGGTGGAGGACTGTCTAATGAAGTAAATGCGCGAATTATATCGAAGTCTTTTGGGATTGAATTTACAAACATGAACAGAAAGCACATGAATTGATACAGAGTTTACATTTTTATTTAAAAAAAAGGTTTGAAAAGTAAATTTTTGATAGTTACCATTATTACTATTTTCAGATATGATAAATTATACACCTAATATAGAAAGTTTATGAGATTTCTTTATTGTAAAGATATGAATTATTCTTTTTCACAAGAAAGAAGGTTATATTTTACATTTTAAAAATTAAGCGTACGTCAATTTTTACTCTTTCATGAGATTAGGAAAATTATAAGTTAAGAAAATATGGGTATTTTTACATGGATGTTTTAATGAAATAATAAGTGTATGTATTAATTTTATATAGTATCATATGACCACGATAGTAGGATATATAAAGTGTATTAAAAGTGAGTAGTATTTTAAGTATTTTTGGGATAATTTTTAATTGTGTGAATATTAATCCACGTGTAAGAAGCTAGGATGACTAGTCACCATGTAGCAGGTGGACGTGGACACAATTTTACAGTCACAGGTGTAGTACTTTCTTTCTTTTGCTCATTTTTGCGTTTATATAGATTTGTTTTTGATTTCCATCAAAGCTCGGGGTTCAGCTTCTTTGCTAAGTGAGCTGCTTTCGAGTCGCTTTCATAAATGGGATTCTAATCATGTTGTCTGGGATATTGCTAGCTTCTGCTTATTCTCGTTGTCAGATGGTTCTCGATGCTCTCTTTTTTTTGCAAAGATGAAAGATTTCAATATCCGGGCTTCGATAATTTTATATAATAATTCGTTGTATGAGTTGAGGACACTGATATATACGGGATGTCTATGATGACATCAAAGCCAGTAGATAAAACCCGATGGAGTATACTAATTCCATCTTATAGATGGCCTATGCAAAACAGTTTTTGATGCAAGAAGCTATTGAGTTTCATCGAGGTCTGAATGTAGAGAGCTTGGGCCTTGTGTTGTGTCTTTCAATAGTCTTATGTCAAGTTCCTGTAAAATGGGTTACATAGATGTTGCAAAGTCATTCTTTTGTACGATGTTTAAGTATGGATTACATCTCAATGTATATAGTTACAATATTCTCATTCATGGGTTAAGCATGACGGGTGCAATGGAAGAAGCCTTGAGTTCAAAGGTGATATGGAGAAACACGGTTTAGAGCCTAATGTGGTGACTTATAACGTCCTTGCCAAAGGATTTTGTTTGCTTGGTATGAAAAGTGGTGTCTCGACATTAATTAATGAAATGCATCATAAAGGCTTAAATCCTGATATTGTCAGTACTTTTAAAATGTTGATCTGTGGATATTGCAAGGCAGTTAATGTTGATGAGGGTATTAAGTTGAGAGAGGAGTACGGTGCAATCTCTCCCAAGAATATCGTGCGGATTTTTTATTCCTATTCCGGTCTTGCCGTCACGTGTTTTGTCGTGTGTTAGAGGGATTGCCCGGAGAACTGGCTCAGGTATGTTAAGGCTAATCCTTCCTTCTTTTTGGCATGATCCGAGAAACGATACGTAAACATAACGATATTCCATAAGTGATTCTACTATTAGTAGTTAAGGATGTCTATCTTATTCATTCCCGTAAAGTGATATTCAAGCATGTCTAAGTGCGTATCTAGTGCTCTGTTTAGAAATTTGATAAAGATGTTAATGTTCATAATACAATAATACATGCATCTTCATGCATAAGCATTTACCACCGAGCTACGGCCGGTCGGACAGTCATGCATTTACCACCGAGCTACGGCCGGTTGGGCAATTACATATTTACCACCGAGCTACGGCCGGTTGGGCAGTTACATATTTACCACCGAGCTACGGCCAGTCGGGCAGTCATGCATTTACCACCGGGCTACGGCCGGTCGGGCAGTTACCACCGGTTGGGCAATTATGTATTATTAGTTACCACCGGTTGGGCAGTCATACATTTACCACCGTGCGACGGCCGGTCGGGCAGTTACCACTAATCAGTTGGGCAGTCATGCATCATACGATATGGATAATAAAAATAGTCTCAAAGAGAAGCATTATATATGTAAGTATGATAAGTATGCAGATAAGGTGGCATTTTAGAGATTCAGGTTGATTCCTATATGTCTTTAATTAATGTTGACTTATTATTATATTTCAGTTCTACCTTACATACTCAATACATTATTCGTACTGACGTCCTTTAGTTAGGGACGCTGCATTCATGCCTGCAGGTATAGATAATCAGTTTCATGAGCCCTCATAGTAGATGAGATTGGCATTCAGCAAAGGATCGGTAAGACTCTACCTCATTCGAAGTGCAGCCGAGTCTATGAGTCATGTGTCAGAATTTTGCTACAGACTTATGGGTAGACCGGTACCCTGTCCCATTTGATGTCAAATAATCTTACAGGCTTTGTAGACAGAGGTTCATTTTGTACAGTGTGTCAGAGGCCTTGAAGGCCCATATGTATTCATGATTTAAGAAAAATAATTTAGTGATACAGTATTGTCCACTTATAGTTATACATTACGAATTGTGGCTATATTGGCCCATTATAGTTTCAAAGAAAGAAAAGAAATAATATAGAGTTGCAGAGTGGTTCGCTCGGGCCAGTGCGGTACCGGGTGCCAGCCACGCCTCCCAAGGTTGGGGCGTGACAGAATATAGGGCTACCATAAGCAGATTAGAAGGTCAAATCAGAGACAATAAATTTGATTGTGGTTTGCAGGCCGCTGCAGAAGAAGGAGAGAAGAAAAGGTTGGCCCAAGAAAACGAAGTCCTCCGAGCTCAGATTCAGAGGATGGAAATAGCTGCTGAAAACCCTAGAAGAAGCAAAACAGATGAAAAACTCATAAACGGTCTTAGGCGAAAAGTGTGTGATTATGGGGCTGATTTGAAAAAAGACGAGGATGCATTGGAAAAAGCCCGGGAAAAGTTGGCAAAGAATGCAGAAGAACGGGCGAGGTTTGTTCAGCAGTTAAAAAAAAGTATGACAAAGGAGTCACGAGCTTCAAGAAAAAGCTGACCACTCTTGAAAATGAAATTGCCCAGTAAACAAAGAACTTCAAAGCGGAAAGAGAGCATTGCTATGCATTAATGTCTCGACTGGAAGAGGACATGAAGCAGTTATAAGAGCAAAACCATACGGCCACATAGGTTTTGGAGGCCAGGTCTCAGCAAATTGGACGCCTACTCCAAAAGAAGGGCGTCATTAGAGAATGGATTAGAGGGATTTCTGATTATGTCATCATGAAATGCCATGAATGCGAGGATATGACCAGATCCACGTTCTTCGCCGATGTGATGACTTTTGTCCGTCAGATAATGGACGACCTAGATCGTCTCCAAGAAGATATTGCACGTAGGCCTACGTGGAGACCGACTGATGTCCTACGGGCCCCTGGAGTAGTATTGGAGGCAGTTATGTATTCCTTTCGAGTCTCAATTTTCAGTTCTTAAGTCTGTATGTCGGAGCCTTTGTAATAGAGGAAAACCAGAAGTTTTTATTTAATGAAATATTGAAAACCCAAAAAATTTCTTTCTTTTATTTTGCTTTTATCCCCTGAACTACGTAATGATCTGATTCATGCGGCATCGTGATACGTAGGCAATCCCCATCGGATCCGATCATAGCTATAGACAACCCGAGTAAAAAAAAAGAGAGGAAAAATAAAAGAGTGCAAAGAAAGAAAAGATTCAGGGTTTGGAAGTGGACAAAAAGAAAAGCCAGGATGGGACACGCAGCCGTTGCAAAAACATTTAGAAAAACGTTTAACTGTTTAGGTGCATTGCATTCGCCAACATGTGATTCCCTATTTGTTAAATTTCTCAAACTAACCGGTTTGTTGTGTATTCTATTTAAGAACATGTTCTGTTTTTAGGTGGTTGGTTTTGTGGTAACCTGGCTTCACACCCTTACTTCACAAGATCAAAAGGGAGTGTCACAGTGACATCAGAGAGTCATCTACCAATCATTAACCCCTCAGAGGGTAGCCCGGCACCGGTTATCCCGGCCTTAGAGTCAGAAACTGCTGAAGAAAACAGAATATTGCGTCTCCGCATGTTGGAAATGTGGGACGCTTGGTCTAATGGCAGAGAACCGCCCAGTGCAATCCCTAGATTTCCCGAACTGATTCCCAGGACAAGTGGAACCTCCAACGTCCCTATTCCCGTAACCAACCCGTTCATCCCGTTCGGCTACCCCACTATGTAGGATAACTTCACCGGTACGCCTTCTGAGGTTCGCCCCCAGGCACCATTTTTAGGAGTATCGTCTACGATATTCACTGCACCACCAGTCTCTACTATGGCACAGCCAACAGTGCCTAGGCCATGTTTCGAGCCGTCAGCCTTCACTTTCCAAGTACCACAATTTCAACTAGACACGGCTCATGTCACCCCAAATTCCTACCCTCAGCACCCCTGATATGAGTCTCCCATGGAACATGAAAGGAACGTGAAGAAACCCGAGCAATAAGAGATAACACGGAAGATTAAAAGCATCAAACGAAGTCTTAAGAACATGAAAGGCCTCAGTGGCCAAAAGAGTGTCTCCTATGCCGATCTGTGCATATTTCCTCACGTTCACCTGCCTATTGGCTTTAAAACACCAAAATTCGAAAGATATGACGAGCATGGAGACCCGATCGCCCATTTGAAAAGGCATTGCAATCAGCTGAGAGGGCCGGGCGGAAAGGAAAACTCTTGATGGCCTATTTCGAGGAGAGCTTAACCGAAATTGCGTCGGAATGGTATATGGACCAAGACATCTCCCATTGGCACATATGGGACGACCTGGCCCGGGATTTTGTCAGACAGTTCCAGTAAAATGTGGACATAGATCCGGAAAAAAATTCTTTGTCCAACCTCAAAAAGAAATCTTTAGAAAGCTTCCGAGAATAGGCTATCAAATGGCGTGAACACGCGGCCAGGGTAAAACCCCAATGGATGAGGCTCAGATGGTCAGTGTCATCTTGCAGGCCCAAAAGGCCGATTATTTCCAAAACATGATGTCTGCTATGGGCAAACCGTTCGCAGAGGCCATAAAGATTGGAGAAATGGTAGAAAATGGTTTGAAAACAGGTCACATCATGAGTCAATCTGCTATAAGAGCCACTTCCCAAGCCATCCAGAGTGGTTCGGGAGGTTTAGCAAACTGGAAAAAGAAAGAAGAGGGAGCCATGATGGCTTCAAGCTTAAGGAATTCCCGTCAACCCCGAGGTTACTTTGGTTCCCCTCCCAGGCCCCCGCAACATTACTACCCCCACCAGGATGCAGCATATGCTATGACCCTTCATCCTTATGCAGTAATGAACGCCCAGCCATACACTCGGCCACAACAACATTACAATCAGAACCGAGCTCCACCTCCAAGAAACAACCCTCCTCACCAAGCCCCGTATAATCCACGTCCACCACAGAATAATTACCAATATAACACCCGTCCCCGTGAACCACCCAGAAAAGCTAACTTCATACCCATTGGTGAGTCATACTCCAGCCTTTTCCCAAAATTTGTCCAAATGGTCCTGTTACAGCCTGTACCTCCAAACAGGCAGAACCCAGAATTGTCGTCCTACCGTCAGGTACCAGATGCGCTTATCACTCAGGGGCGGAAGGGCATGACACTGAAGATTGTTGGAACCTTAAGAGAGCAGTCGAGAATCTGATAGAACAGAAGCGGGTAGTGTTGAGGGATGAGGAAGTCCCCAATGTAACTAACAACCCATTGCCGGCTCAAAACAACGGGCCGGTCATTGGGATGATCTGTGAGGACAAAGAATTCAACGTAGCTTTGAATGTTATAATTGCTATCACCGACTTAGAAAAGAAACCCAAAGCGGTAGCAAAACAAGCTAAAGATGAGAAGAAGATCAACTCCACTCCCCAAAGCTCAGAAAAGGTTGTGGAAACAAAGACAGGGGCAGCACCTCCTAAAGATGCCATTCTCTATGTTCCTAGGGCCCCCAGAAAGGAACAATTCGTGTTGAGCTCTCCCAAAAGGCTTGAGCAAAACAAAGTCACGCTGAAGGTACGAAAGATATACGTACCAAAGGGGACATATATGGCGCGGGGGCCGATAATTTCACCCAGGCTGACTGAGCCCGTGGTTATTAGCCGCGTACCACAGAATCCCATGAAAGACCCCACTGCCATCCCTTGGAACTACAATAAGGCAGTGGTCACATACAAAGGAAAGGAAATCATGGGAGAAGTAAATGAAACGAACCAATCTGGGAAGTACCTCAACATGGAAGAATTGAACAAAACAAAGCAGAAGCGTTTTTCGCTTAAAAGGCCAGTCAGTGCTAAAGAAGCTGAGGAATTTTTTCGAAAGATGAAAACCTCGGACTATGCTGTAATTGATCAACTTAGAAAGACTCCCTCCCAGGTCTCACTTTTCTCCCTGCTGATAAGCCCGAATGAGCATTAGAAAGTGCTGTTAAAGACGCTGAATGAGGCATACATTCCGGTCAAGACCACGGTTGAATGATAACTAGGAAATATGATGCATTTTACACTCCTTCATGCTCAAGTTTTGATTAGGAATGTGTACAAAATAGTCCCAAAAGGCTCACAAGTTGTGCTTGATTGCAGGTTTGATCAACAAGGTGACAATGTATCAAAGATCAGCTCAAAAAGGAGTGAAACTTGCACAAGTACCAAGACAAAGATAAAGCTCAGGCAAAACAGGGCCAGTGTGGCCGCACACCATTATGTGTGGTCCGCACAAGTGAGGTTCAGAGAGGCTGACATTCAGGCTAAAAGGGCAATGCGGCCGTACGAAGTTTTGTCCGGTCCGCACTCGATTTAGTGCGGTCCGCAGAGAGAAGATTCAGAAAGTTGCCAAATCCAGGTTTGAAGACCAATGCGGTCCGCGAATCATTTCATGCGGACCGCACTAGAAGCCACCATGGCCGCACTCGATTCTGTGTGGTCCGCATTGCCCAAGTTCAGAGAGCAGTTTTGTCAAGCCAGAGCCCTAGTGCGGCCGCACGTGATTTGTGCGGTCTGCACTAACCCCGCAGGGGTATTTTTGTCCAGATTTGTCAGCTTAATACAAAATAGCTTCTTTTCCATTTTTAGGTCAGGCAGATAGTTAGTACTGAAAGTTGCGCTTGTGGGTTCGAATATTTTAGCTGTTTTGAGTAATTTTAGCTTCATTTCAACATTGAATCTTCAAGTTTAATTTAGCAATTAATTAATATGAGTTTCTCTTCATCTATTTCATTGTTTTTGTCTTTAATTATGAGTAGCTAGACCCATCAACTAGGGTTGTGGCTCAACCCTAGTGTGGGTAATTGATGGGTCTTGTGTTTTAGGGCTTGACTGACTATGGGTGTTTGATATTTGGGCTAATTTCATGTTTTATTGCAAAATTAGTGGTTGCAAACACTAGTTTGTGTTTAGTTGACTTTAGCTCTTCTTGAGAAAGAGATCCTAAGTCTCTAAAATTAGTCCAACAAGGAATTGGGGCGTACTCAAGTTAATTGATAGCCCCATTTAAAGGGTTAAACCGAGAGATCGTAATACCCGACTTGAACCTTAATTGCTTGTGCAAATTTGCATACCCAATTGGTCTTGAGAAAGCCAATTTGGGCAAAATCACTCGAACTACCGAGAGGTATAGAGTGAGTAGAATCGAGCAATGATTATATCATACCCCCCAAACGTGTCAATCTCGCTTTAGACTCAAGAGTCCGTCAATTGACCACCTAGGCGAAAGTCACTACCCTAGTGCCTTTTAGTCATTTGAACAACTCACAATAGTTTAATCCTAGCTTATAGTAGTTTAATTGAGCATTGTAGTTTATAAAATTAGAATCATAATTAAAACCAAAAATTTGTAGAAGTGCAATTTGGAGCAAATACACTACTCCACTTTAGATAGACACCCAACTCCAATATCTAGCTCCCTGTGGAAATCGATCCCGACCCTAAATCGGGTAAAAGCTGCTTCGACCTCTCTCGCTACTTAATAGTAGTGCAGGGTTGGCCCCAATCACTTTTCGGCGCCGATTCCGGGGAGCTAACGGTTTTGGCTATCTATCTAGATAGTTTTGTGTTTTGTTCTTCATTCCTTCTTTGTTACTAATTTGTGTGTGTCACAACTTCAGGTACAAAATGGCATTAAATGCTAATGACCCTCTTGGAAATGTGATTGCGGGGGAGGAGGTAGATGACAATGGTGATGAAGAGGTGCCTCTTGCACCTCAAGGACAGCGTAGAGTCTTCCAGGACAATGCAAATGAGAACATTCCAGACCCTCCTCCGCCACCTCCAAGGGCGGCTCCCAGAGTTCTTCCCAACCAAGGCTATGCAAGTGAAATTGTTCCGCCCCGGATCCGGGCGGGCAATTTTGAAATAACTAATGTGATGCTGACATTGCTGGAGCAGCGTGGGCACTTCACGGGAATTGCCACTCAAAATGCTTACAAACATCTTAAGGGGTTCGTGGATACCTATTGGGGGAGCAAGCAAACCAATGTGTCCGAGGATGCACTTCGATTGAGGCTCTTCCCATTCTCACTTAGAGGGAAGGCATTGGATTGTCTTGAGCGACTTCCCAACCATTCCATCACAACTTGGGATGAGTTGGCGGATAAGTTCATTGCCAAAATTTTCTCACCGGGACACATGGAAGCACTACGGGATGAGATCTTAGCCTACAAGCAGGAGCCCACCGAACCATTACACGAGATTTGGGAGAGATATAGAACTATGGTGAAGGAATGCCCCAACAATGATATGACCGAGGCTATGATACAACATACCTTGTATCGGGGCATCGATACAACAAATCAATGCATAGTGAATTAATTGGCTGGGGGAAATTTCATGAAGCTTCCTTATGATAAAGCTTGTGCTATTCTTGACGAGATGGCTGACACATCCTCCGCTTGGCAAAGTCGAACCAATGTGCCACAAGGTGACCCCACGGTCACTCATTTGCACAAAGAACTACATGACCATGGACAGGCTATAGCAGAACCTTCAATAACAATGAACCAATTAGCAAAGGCACAGTTGCAACAAGTTCAGAATCCTCGCCAAGTAAATGCCATGGAGGGTGTCAACATGCTTGTAAACAATAGAAGACAAAGAGGTCAACAGAACCAAGGGAATTCAGATCAATTTGACAATGATTGTGGTGGATTCCAAGATGATTGTTATGATGGGCAGAACGAAGAGGTGCAATATGTGAATAATTACCAAGGCCAAAGAGGCAATTCTTCGAACCAACAACAACAATGGAGATCCCAGGGCAATTGGGGTAACCAACAACAACAAGGCAACATAATTGGAACAATCAACAATAAGGGAACAACAATTAGGGAAATCAAAATAACAGTCGGAACAATCTGGGAAACTGGGGCAACAACAACAATTGGGGTGGAAACAACAACAACCAGGGTGGATGGAACAATAATCAAGGAAATCAGGGGCAGGGCTTTCAAAGGCCCCCAATGTATCAACAACCGAGCAACCCACCGCCTTTTCCATCCCAGGGTCCTAGTTCTTCCAACAATTAAATAGGTAGAATTGAAATGATGTTTGAACAGATGATGAAAAAGAATGCTGACTCCGATGCGCAATTGGCTTCTCACAACACTTCAATCAGGAATTTGGAGGTCCAGCTAGGCCAAATCTCATAGTCTTTGAATACTCGCCCAAAGGGGGCTCTACCTAGTGATACAGTGGTTAACCCAAAGGGTGGTAACAATCATGTTATGGCGGTAACTACACGGAGTGGAAGAGGCGGTGATGTGAATGCCTTCAAACAAAAGCAAGTTTTGGGTGATGAAGTTGAGTTGCAAGAAGATGAAGTTCCTTTGGTGGTTGAGAATGAGGGTGATGAAAATGTGAATCAAGAAGTGAGGATTGATATTCAAGATGCTGAGGTGGAAACGCAAAATGACATGAAACCGTCTAGGGAACACGTCGTAGACATGCCGGAGCCGATTGTGCCAAAAGCCAAGACACCCTTGCCTAGGCCACCTCCCCCTTATCCTCAGAGGCTAGCCAAGCAGAAAAATGAGAATCAATTTAAAAAGTTCATTGACATGATGAAGAGCTTATCCATCACTGTGCCTTTGGTGGAGGCTTTGGAGCAAATGCCTGGCTATGCTAAATTCATGAAAGATTTGGTTACAAAGAAAAGATCTATGGACTGTGAAACTATCAAGATGACCCACCATGTTAGTGCTATAGTACATTCAATGGCTCCGAAGTTGGAGGATCCCGGTGCTTTTACGATCCCTTGCACTTTTGAGAGTGCAGACTTTGCTAAAGCTTTGTGTGACCTAGGGGCTAGTATCAATTTGATGCCCTACTCAGTTTTCAAGACTTTGGGTATTGGGCAACCAAGGCCAACTTCCATGAGATTGCAAATGGCGGATAGATCAATGAAGCGACCATTGGGTATAGTTGATGATGTGCTTGTCCGGGTGGACAAATTTATCTTGCCAGTTGATTTTGTGATCGTGGATTGTGAGGTAGACTATGAAGTTCCGATCATTTTAGGGATACCTTTCCTTGCTACGGGGAAGGCTCTAGTAGATGTGGAAGTAGGGGAACTCACTTTAAGGGTGGGTGATGAAATGGTCGTTTTTCATGTGTGCAAGTCAATGAAGCAGCCCAATTGTACAGAAGTGTGCTCATTTGTGGATCTTGTCACGGCTGTGATAATTGATGATACTAGTACAATGATCAATGCGGAGGAACCTTTAGAGGCCGTATTGTTGAATCTTGATGTCAATGATGGTGAGGGCCGAGTGGATTGCGTGAATGCTTTACATGGAATGGGCTCTTATTCTTATGAGCCTAGGAAACTCTCTTTGGATCTTGAAAATAGAAAGACCCCTCCAACAAAGCCTTCAATTGAGGAACCCCCGGTGTTGGAGTTGAAGCCATTGCCTCCATACCTCAAGTATGAATTCTTAGGCCCTAGTTCAACTTTACCAGTTATTCTTTCCTCTTGTCTTACTAACATGCAGGTAGATGCCACATTGGTGGTGCTCAAAAAGTGGAAAAAGGCAATTGGATTGACTCTAGCTGATATTCGGGGAATAAGCCCCGCATTCTGTATGCACAAGATTATTCTGAAAGATGATGCAAAACCCTCCTTAGAACATCAAAGGAGACTGAACGAGGCAATGCAAGAAGTTGTGAAAAAGGAGGTGATCAAGTGGTTAGATGCCGGAGTGGTGTATCCTATGTTTGACAGCTCCTGGACTTCACCAGTGCAGTGTGTGCCGAAGAAGGGTGGTATGACCGTGGTGACCAATACTAATAATGAACTTATTCCAACCCGGACAGTGACTGGATGGAGGGTGTGCATGGACTACCGCAAGCTGAACAAGGTGACCCGCAAGGATCACTTTCCATTGCCTTTCCTTGACCAGATGCTTGATCGTCTTGCTGGGCGTGCCT